ATTTCAAATGTGCTTTTGAATGCATTCAAATTTGTTTATTTTATATCTAGAGTTCCTGTGCTCCAAAAATTATGAAATTTTTGTGGTGAACTAATCTTAGCATGTGTGAACTCTGGTAAAAATTTGAGGACCAGTGCATGGGTAGATTTAAAGTTATAGATTTTTCTTTTATGACTAGTTAATCCTTGCATGATTTTTCATAAATTAAGTATGAGTCCAAAATTCATGAAATTTGTTGGAGGTGATACTAGTACCATATGGATGTTAAGAAAAATAAGAAATCTGTTGCTTGACACTTTTCAATAGGGTTTTCCATTTATGCTATTTCAAGCCTTGCTGCCTTGTCATTTTTGTATAGAATGTTCTACTTGGTAAAATGACATGAAATTTTTACAGTAGTCTCTTGATAGCATTAGTAAAGCTCTGTAAATTTTTGAGAATTTATTAAGCACATCTGATATATATTTATTATTTAACCTAGATATCTAAATAAAATAATAAAGGCAATTTAATAAATAGTTTGGGCTTTACCATTATATCATCTTAACTGTATTTGGTATGCTTAAACTATTGGTAGGTTCTAGGTTGTCAAATTTTGAATGATTACCTGAAGTAGAAGTATTCTTACTTTATGTTGCATGTTAAGTCATTTCCGGACTGATTCTAGAGTGTGAGGTTTTGCATGTTGAAACTGATGTGTACTGTAAAAATGGTTAATAACAAAGTTGTAGAAAATTCGATAAGCTTTCCAGAAAGTCCAGGATCACTGGATTTGGATTTGTAGAACTCCAGTTATGAGTAAAACAAGTAGCTACTAATTATGGCCTAGTCGATGCGTTGTAGAAGTAGTTAAGTAATAATCGAGAAGAGATATGCACCTACTCAAACAACGTGATGCACTTGTTAACATATATGCATTCGTAATACTTATACCATACTCATGCATCTAGGATCGGAGGAAGAGATCACGTTCTTTGGAATTCAAGAAGGAGGAAGGAACCCAGGAGGATCCGCAAGCCGTAGCTCCCGAAGGCGTGGAGCGAGAACCTCAAGAGCTTCCGGAGTGCCCCGACCACCGCCCTACTTCCTTTTCTCATGAGGCAAGCCCGGAGCATTATAAGTCTCCCAAGTAATTTATAAATGTTTATTTAAGTACTTATGATTGCTTTGCATTAGGTTATAAGAGTTGAATGAAACCACTTGATGCATGTACATTCCTTGTCCGGATATTACACCTTTAACGGTATAGGTCCGAGGATCGAATATATGCTTAGCCATGCTTAGACCGGTAGAAGTCGGGTGATTTCACGTCACCTGCGAGATATAGGTGGATCTAGAGCACGGTTGGTTATAATTGCTATCGTGGAAAAGAACCATGGTTAATGTAAATGGAGACCAAGGCGGGATGTCGATAGAAAAGCAACAAGACATGGAGGTCTTGGGTGTGAATCTATCCCCGTCTGCGTGTCGATCAAGGACCATACCGTTGTTGGAACTTCCGACAAGATTGAACGCATGCCTCTCACTTAGCTGGCCGGATAATTCGTTCCGACCATGAAGCCGAGTAATTCAACTCGGCGGGAATCGATTCACAGCGCCCCTTCCGGGGAACGATCGGGACCGAGCCCAAAGGCGTGCTTGGCTCGAGCATCCCGGCATCTGGTGTTCCAGACAGTGCGCGCAAGATCTGGACCCATGAAATGTGTACCGGAGTTGTACCAAAGGTGACCTAAGGTGACCGTTTCGTCTGCACTGGGTTTGTGTTAGGAATAAATTCCCACCTGGTTGAAATCGATTGAATCGCCGTCTCTCCCGGATAGTGAGAAACTTGGCTAGCTCCAACATCGTAGTAATCGTATTATGGAACATGATGGTTCGGATGAAATGGAATTTCAATACCGCTATGGTTACTATTGTATGCTTCTAAATGATACCACATGTTTGTACAGGATAGTTGCTAATCTAGAAATGGATAGTTATAATTAACTTGGTAAAGGAATCATAATTGTACAACGGATCAATTGCCTTTTTCGCAAAATGTTGTCAAGTTACGCCCACTTATCTGAAATTTGCATACTCCTTGGAGTCATTTTATTTCTGGTTCATGACGGGTAAGTCTAGTGAGTACCTTCTCGTACTCGTGGTTTATTTTCCCATTGTTGCGAGATGGCTTTGTGTATCATGGTTATTGCAAGAGTTGCTTCTATCCCATTGTGGATGAGGAGTAAGCCTTGGGCGAGCTTCCTTAGTAATTCCTATCTTTGCTTTTGTGGATCGTGATCCGCATGGCATCGTATCAAACTATGTTGGAAACTTTATCTTCGAACTTATTTGCTTCCGCTTTAATTATCAAACTCGGTTTGTAATAATTTTCTATTCGTACTCTGATGATGAAAAGTATCTGTGAACTTTATGTAACGTGTGGCATGTATGTTGAATCCTGTACGATCTTGGTTGTTGTAAATCGTTTATCGAGACCCGTCGTGGTACTCGACGGACTACCGGGTTTATATGGGTTCAAGTATGACAGTGCGACCGCTTGTGGATTGCCATTATACTTGTATTCTTATAAATTGGTCGGTTCTGCGACAGCCTTGGTCGCTCTATGCCATAGCTAGAGGACGACACATCGGCTACCGACCTACATAAAGACATGGAGGAGGAGGAAAACAATATATCAGAATAGATAAATCACCATTCATCAATGGAAGAAAAGGAGGGTTAGGGTTAGGGTTAGGGATGTACCTATGCAACTACAACCCCGTGCTAGAGAAGACGAGGGCCATCCAGAGAAGACAACACACCGGTTAGAAGGACGGCGAGCGGCGGAGGAGGGGCAGACGGGGACACGAACTCATATAATCACCGAGATTTAGAGAGGAGATAGGGATAGAGAGAAGAGAGAGGCGAAGAGGGAGCAGGGATGGGATCAGGTAGGAGAAGGGAGCTGCTCGCCGGCAGCAGGCGGGGTTAGGGTTAGGGACTTAGGGTTAGGGTTGTACTGTACCTGCACAACCGGAGCCCGATGCCGGAGAAGACAACGGCCACCTAGAGAAGACGACACACCGGTTAGAAGGACGATGAGCGGCGGAGGAGGGGCAGACGGGGACACGAACTCACATAATCACGGAGATCTAGAGGGGAGATAGAGACAGGGAGAAGGGAGAGGTGGAGAGGGAGCAGGGAGGGGATCAGGTAGGAGGAGTAGGGAGTTGCTCGCCAACGGCAGGCGGATCATCGAGGTCACCTCATCGGAGCCGGGGAGGACGGAGCCGAGATGCGAGGGCGAGACCACGACGGCGAGGCGAGATGAGAGCGGCGCTGTGGGTGTGGGATGAAATGAGCTAGGGTTCGGGGTGTGACCGTGTGAGGGAGAGCGGCGCTGCGACGTGCGATTATATATGAGGGGGAAGGCGGGGACGATGGGCGATGGGCCACGCTGGGCCGTGGGGAGGGGAGGAAGGAGTGAGGAGGCCCAGGAGGGGGTGGTGGTAGGCGGGGCCGCTACCGGGCCGACCGCCGAAGGCCGGGCCATGCCGTGCCAGCCCACAGGCTTGAGCAGTGGCCCAGGAATGGCCTGCACCCTCGGGCCAGGCCAGCCCGGGCCCGCACGTCATCGGACCGGGCCGTGCTCGTGTCGGGCTAAAAAAGCAGGCTTCGTGTCGTGCCGTCGTGCCTCGGGCTGCATGGACATTTATAAGTCCACGAGTTGCACACTGGTGCATCGAGATTGGGGAACGAAGCTGTCGCATCAGCGCAACGAGTGTGAGGAGGTGGGCGAGGAGGGACACGGAGGCGGCGGGGGCCGGAGTAATAGGGCACGCGATAGGTGATATCCGATGTGGGAATGGGGAGAGAGACCGCGAAAGGAGGAGAAGCCCATCAACGACGGCAGGGCGACGGAGGGCGAGCGTGAATCGATTTATCTGGAAAAAAAATCCACGTTACCTCTGTCAACTTTCGTGAAAGTTCGCTTTTTCTCCCTGAACTTTAAAACCAGGCAAAACATCTTCCTTAACTTTTAAAACCATTCATCTTACCTCCCTGTCCATGTTATAAACAGTTTTAAGCGGTTTTGTCTTTTTCTTTTTTATTTATTTCGGCTAAATTTTTAAAAAATCATAGCAGATTACAGAAAAATCATAAAATAGAAAATCAAATTTTTTTGGACTCCACACGAGTAGATCTACACAGTAAACATATAATATGGTATGCTTTAATACAAAATTTTTGCTTGGCTTTAAATCTATGTTTTTTTAATTAAATTGAATAATTCATAGCTACAGTTCTAAGGTCCAATTGTGGTGAATTTTTTATGGTGAGCTAATTATTGTATGCTTAAATTATAGTAAAAATTTCATACTCATTGGATCATGTATAACTTAGTTATATATTTTATTTAGGTTTATGTTTGTTAAATATAAATAAATCTATAACTAAGCTATACATGATATAATAAGTATGAAATTTTTACTATAGTTTAAGCATACAATAATTAGTCCACTAGAAAAATTTCATCATAATTGGACTATAGAAACTGCAGCTATGAATTATTCTAATTAATTTCAGAAAAGCATAGATCTAAAGCCACAGCAAAAACTTTGTACTAAAACATACCATATTATATGTTCACTATGTCGATATACTCATGTAGAGTCGAACAAAATTAGATTTTCTATTTTATGATTTTTCTGTGATTTGCTATGATTTTTCAAAGATTTCAGCCGAAATGAATAAAAAAAGAAAAAGATAAAACCGCCATCAAAATCGCTTATAACAGGGCCAGGAGATAAGATAAACGATTTTAAAAGTTGAGGGAGGTGTTTTTGGAGTTTAGGGAGGAAAAACGGACTTTTGCGAAAGTTGAGAAGGTAACGTTCCGGGGGGCTTTTTTTGCAAAATGCATTGAAACCAGTGGCCCAGGCCCAGTCGAGGGCGCGGCCCAGTCAGCCTTCTTCGTCTGCCTGATGCCACCGAACCGCAAGAGGCGAGCAGCAGCCATGGATCCCGCGGCAGGAGGCGCCGGCCAGCAGCGCCAGAACAAAGCTTCGGCGGGCAAGAAGGCAAAGAAGGGCGGCGGCGGCGGCGGCGGCGGGAGATGGCCGGCGGTCAAGCCCAAGAAGGATCTCCAGATTAATCGCCTCAAGGGCACCCACCTCCTCACCGTAAGCCCTCCTTCCCGGCTCCCCTGAATCCCTATTCACTTCCCATAATGAGCAATTGCTAGGATTGAAGCCGCAAAGAAGCAGCCATGATTACACGGCCATCCTTGATTTTGGTGGCGTCTCTTTTTTCTGGAATTAGAGAATCTTGATTTGAGCTAGCTAGACAAGCAAGTATGTTTTCTGCAAAGTTATTCTCTGTATGGAAACGCCAATCATGGTAGACCACTATGGCCTCCTGAATTCCTGATAAGAATGACTTTTGAAGTAGAAGCCATCTCTGATGGCATGCTATTCGATTGAAAAGAATTTCTGCCAAAGAGTATCATAGGCTTTGTTAAAAAGAAGAGTTGCTAATTGTCACGGCAACCTGATCCTATCTCTTCTGAGTTCTGAGCAATTGTCAACTTGTTATAGATTCCAGACTTCTTCACTTCCGCCGAGGCCAAGACTTTCATTGATGTTGCTGAGTCTATGGGCTTCACACACCAGGGCAGTTTGGGGCCACTAAAGGGGGAGGCTTACAGAGACAACGATCGGATATCTGTGACGGATCCATTGCTTGCTCAAGCCATTTGGGAATCAGGAATAAACAGAATTTTTACAGACATCAGCGTCTCTGGCAAAGTAGCAACAGGATTGAATCCAAATATCAGGTTCTACAGGTATGTACTGTTAGAAGTTGAGCAGTGATCTGCTGCTGGGCTAATGCGATAACCACATTGTTAGAAAGCCTGAGTCGTGAATGGTATCGAATGCTGATTTTTGTTGCGGACAGGTACACTGAAGGTCAGCGATTTGGTCGGCATATCGATGAGAGTGTCGACCTTGGGGATGGTTCTAAAACGTATTATACACTTTTAATTTACCTTTCTGGCAAAGGAAGTGCAAAGGATTCATCTGCACAAGCTCTTGTGGGAGGGGAGACTGTCTTTTATGATCAAAGAGGTGGAGTTGTTGCTGAGGTACTTCCTGATTCCAAAATCCTCATCTCTTTGATAAAATTGCATCGAGTCTCTCTGATTGTTTCATCCAAAGGAATTCTTTCGTGGAGAACTTGTACTGCTGGCAATTAAATGAATTTCATCTTGTGTCTGGTTTCTCACTCATACCATTGGAGGCAAAGTGGATTATATGCACTGCCATCCAGTTTGTTGTCTGGATTGGGACAATTATGCCCAAGAGAAAGTATCAGCTAAGGAATCTGTCATGCACACATGACAGCTTACGAGTCTTTCTTGCACTTCAGAACTTCATGTAGATTATAGAATAGTCACCAGTCATCCATAATCATGTGATTTCCCACTGTAAAAGTGGGAAAGGTGCCTGAGGGTCAAACAACATTGCATGGCCCTATTTTATATCTATTATCTATATATATGACCGGTGGTTGGTATAGTGCCACACGTTAGAATGATCCTAATCTGAGGCTACTGCGTGATAGGTTGCTCCAGTGCAAGGAATGGCACTCCTCCACCTACATGGTGCCAAATGTATGCTGCATGAAGCTCGGGTTGTGAAAAAGAATGCCAAGTATGTACTCCGTTCAGATGTTGTATTTTCTTAGCTGAAGAAATGCCTCAACGTGTTTCGGATCAACCCACCGTCTAGGGCATAATGGATCTGGGGCTGGGAAGTACTTCTAGTTACTTTCCCATTTTGTAAGTTTGTCATACAAGAGTCCTGTAACCTCTTCAATGTTGGAAGTGATTCTTTTGACATCAGAATCGTGTTCTATTATCTGTTGATGCATTTGCTGTTGCTCAAGTGCAAAAGAACTCATTCTATTTAAGTCTTGATAGCTGCAAACATTGGCTACATCTAGTACTGTTAGCTGCAGTTTGAGTCCATCCTTGTGCAATCTGTGACGTCTTGAAGCCTCCAAAAATATCGGTAATGCTCCTATCCGGACAGGACGGACCCGCCTCGCGTGCGCGCCCTGTGCCCCTGCACATCGTGACTCGCACTTTCCTAAAAAAAACTCGCGCCTCGCACGGTCGCACGGATCCGCCGCGCGCCTCTGCACGGTCGCACGGATCCGCCGCGCACGGTCGCACCAGACCCGCCTCGTGCCATGCACCCCGCCCGTGCCTCGCGCCGTCCGCGCCTCACGCCCTCACTCGTGCCTCGCGCAGCGCGCCTCGCGCTGCACTCCCCCACGCCGCGTCATAGCCTCCATTGGACGGTAGCAAGTAGATGAGCACATGTTGCAAAAGTAGATCTGGTGTTGCATATGTTGCAATAGCTATATACGTATGTTGCAAGTGTATGTTTCAAGTATTTCAGTTGTTTCAAACGTATGTTGCAAATGTTTTATTTGGATATTGCATATGTTACAGTAGCTATACATGTATGTTGCAAGTGTATGTTCCAAATATTTCACCTGTTTCACACCTATGTTGCAAGTGTTTCATCTGGATGTTGCATGTGTTGCAATGTTGCATATGTTTCAGACATATGTTGCAATCGTCTATACAAATGTTTCATCTGTTTCGTATTTATGTTGCAAATGTGTTTATTTGAATGTTGTAGTTGCAATACACATATGTTGCAAATGTATTTTTTGTAAATGTTTAAGATGTATGCTGCAGAAGTGCTTTCATGTTGCAACATTAGCAGGCGTAGGAAGCAGGCACATGTAAATGCGGTCTGTGCGTGCGTAGCGGTCCCCACCTGCATGCGCATCAGCACGCACGAGGTAGATATCACTAGGCACAAGGTGGGCATTAGCAGGCACGAAGCGCACAAACTGCATGCGTAGGCGCACTAGCATGTAGGGGCGGGTTTGCAGGCGTAGCAGTTGCATGCGAGACGTGCAGGCGCAGTCGCGTAGAGTTGCGTGCGGGCAGCAATTGCATGTGGGGCAGGCGGGGCAGTTTTTTTTTAAAAGGCGGGCAGGCAGGACGGGCGCGAGTGTCCGGACGTGTCCTCGCACCGAATGTCTGGGCCCTAGTTGTTCCGCAAAAACATTAGAGAAGTTCAAAAGCTCACGGGAAGACTAACTGCCCTTAAATAGATTCATTTCAAAGTCAGCTAAGCAAAGCTTCCCGTTATTCCAATCCTTTAAAGGCTCCAAAGATGACTTCGTATGGGGCACTCCTCAGCAAGAGAATTGATCAGCTTATAAAAAAAAGAGACAATTGATCAAATGAAGGAACACTTGGTCAACACCACCATACTTGGAACCCCAACACCAGGGGCTGGTGCCGAGTTACTTTTGTATGTATCAGCTTCATAAAATGCAGTCAGCACTGTCCTCGGTCAGGAGCAAGAAACAGAACATACAAAAAAGCAAGTACCAACAAATTCCTTGTAGTTTTGGTAGCCCGCATAATCAGAACAAATCATGAGCAAAGCTTACAACCATTTTTCATGACATCTCTAGTAATAATATGCTAAGTACAATCTTATTAACCAAAAAAACTTAAAAGCTTTAGAACTAGCATACATGACAACAAATTCCAGGTTTCAACACAGAACCAGATAAGAATTTCAGAAACTCGGCATATCTGCTTTCTACTATCTACTATCAAGCACACTGCACACCTTGCTCGCCTAGATTAACTGATACGCAAGGACTACCTGCATAGCAAATACTACAGTTTCTGAAACGCTACGTAGTGATGGACTATCGATGGCACCATGTTTGCCCAGACTAATTATAGATACATAATGGAAATTTTGGAAACTGTAATATATCAACGGCATAAAACTAAGTTTTCCACACAGGAAGGACCACATGTTTTAGCGATATCCATGTTTTTCCGATACAAATTTTAGTTTCGAGACCACCAACCACATACATTTCTATAACTGCTTTGCTTACAACGAATTACTTCTCTCAAAATCCAAATCACTCTCGTAGCGAAATTCTGTTTTCTCAATCATAACCACCATATATACATGCGACCTCTTCCTCATTGGAGTACATTGCAGACTTTTTCGACCAAAAGGTAGCACATGTATTCATAGCCACAGCATGAACATAACTTTGATTATGGCAGTGCCTGTAGTCAGAGTTCAAGTCTGCAAAACGAATTATGCAGTCAGTCAATCAGTCAGATAACACTGCTGCTGTCACATTGCAATTGAACAGTATAACCAATTTAATGACAAAATGCCAGCGGTTATTTTCAATATTAAAAATACTGAGATTTGTTAACACAGTTTTATGCAACCACAGTCCAAGACATCGGTACGTATTTGGTCAAATTATCAATTTATGACTCATAGGGAAGCTGGGAAGGCAGAAAGACAAGTTCATCTACAACTCAACTATATGTCTATATTCATGCGAAATTACGAGCAAAGAGCTTACAACTACATAGTAGATAACAATTAAGAATAAACACAACTCGATGCAACTGCAGTGTAACCTAGATTTCAAATACTACAATAGAATGCTCTTGATAAGCAATTGAACAAATCACAGAATGAACCAGTTATCTAGTTTAACAAGCATTTAGGATAATAAGACGTGGATATAAGCAAATGCAGTTATCTATAAATATCCAATCCAAACTTATTTTAGATCAGGTAGACAGGTACAGGTATACTTACATCAGAAGTATTGACCAGTTTTGGACGACCTGTTTCCTTGTCTATTTCCACCTTGAGACCTATGTTAGCAATCTCTGGAGTTATAACAGGTTCTTGCATCTCAAGTTCAGAAACCTCCTTCTGATTTTCTTCATTTTCTTCAAGCAAGTTCTTAACAGCTAGCAGACCCCACTCCCTCAAGTATGGATTATCTTCATCGATGACGCACTGCTGCAGTAGCAACATGATCCCACCTAACTGCCTAATCTCATCTTGCACCTTCTTCCTTCTGTGTAAGCAATTAGCAATGACCGCGACCAAATCTCTCCTGTAACCAATGTATGGGCAGACCTTTGCATTTTCAAGAGCTGGATGGTTATCTCCTTGTCCTCCTGCCATTGATTTTCTGATTGTACTTGGTGGCTCAAGCTCACCTAGGTATCTCAGAAGGCGCTTTACAAAGCCAGTCTGCAATAGCGAGTCAACAGGGCGTTGAGTATCTGATGAGGTGGATTCCCAGGCACAGATATCCCTCAGGAGCTGCAGTGTATATCCAAGGACATCGATTGCAGGGCTCCCAGTTGGAAGAGGGGAGGTACCTCGGTGAGTAAAATTCACAGTTTCGGCAGCATGCTTGTGTAGATTGAAAACATCATGCGCAAAACTGTCCGAGACAGTAACTTCTTTGGGATGGCTGTTCAAACACCTTGACAGCGTACCCAGAAGAAAAACATGCTTAGCATTATACTCGCCACTGTCTGTGCGCTCAACATCATTAGTGGAGCATAAGGCATAGAACAAGCTCTCAAACTTCTGCTCCTCAACACAGACTTTGAACAGAAGCCACTCTAACCACTCTTCCTTGTGCCCCACTACATTACATAATTCTGGTTAGGGTCATATACAGCTCTGTACTTGTACAGACAAAACAACACGGAGGAACTCCTATAACATTATAATAAATCCCAGTGTTAAAGGCTATACTGCACATTGCAACAAAATAACCATAACATTTTCTTGTCATTAGATATAAACAAAAGTATGCATCCCAATTTCTAACTACGATAGCAGGCTCAGACATCTTGCTATGCAATGCAACAATCTGATACTAGTACTACAATGCATCATAATTCCAACTGTCAAATTACAGACTGACCTAATACTAGTATCTGAAAATAAATCCTCATGTTCATAGCACGTACAGTAAAGGGCGTACCCAGTGCAGAGAGCTCCCGCTCTGTGCGGGGTCTGGGGAAGGGTGTCAGTGGCAATCCTTACCCTCGCCTGTGCAATGCGAGGAGACCGTGACTCGAACCCGGGACCTTCCGGTCACAGGCGGTAAGACTCTACCGCTTGCACCAGGCCCGCCCTTCTGTTCATAGCACGTACAGTACTACAGTATTTTGTTTACTCTAAAAGGCATGCCCGAGCCAAGGGGTGTGCGAGCGGTGCGTGGGAACAGGGCCCATGATTTTTAGGGGCCCCCAAATCCTGATGTATCAGCTACCAGCCATCACTACGGTAGTTTGTCATCAGGCGCATGCAAACTAGTACTAGTGACTACCAGCTACGCCTAGCTAGAAGCTAGGGGATCAATTCAAGCCCATGGCATAAACTACCATCATGTATTGGCACTGGAAACTAGCCGATACTACATACTACGTACTACGGAGTACATATGAGTCAGGAGTACAAAGTGTCTAATATATTTAACCAAATATATAAGTAAAAAATATTAATGCTCAAATAAACATATTATGAAAGTATACCTCATGAAAAATCTAATAATATTTATTTGATATCATAAATATTGATGTATTTTATATATAGCTAGTCAAACTTGAGATATTTTAACTTTTAACTGTGCTAAAATTGCACTCGTTTCTTGACGGAGAGAGTACTAGATAATTCTAATCTTTTCCCCAATTTTGAATTCTACTGTCCTTCATAACATTATATGAACTAATGTTTTTTCGAACAATCATTATATTATAAACTATAATTATCCTTCATATATATGGTTATTTATCGTGTTCCAAGAGATTAATACATTTGCATGATATGTATGTAGAATTTATAATAATTACTATAATTCTATCTATCAAGAGATAAGGCCTCATTTTATAGTTTGGTACAGGGCCCCAATTTTTGCGCTCGGCCCTGCTAAAAGGACACCTGAAGAACACTGCGGCACTGCGGGGACGAGGTCATCTCACCTTGCGAGGCCGTAGTGACAACTTGGACGAGGATTGGCAGGCCCAGCTCCTGGTGGCACAACTCCTCGAGCCTCCGGCGACCGCCTTCCCCGCCGCAGCACGTGTCGAGGACCATGCACAGGGGATCCAGGACTCCCTGGTCCCTGAGCCCCGCGAACTCCCGCAGCGCCTCGGGGAAGAGCGCCTCCCAGACGGCGTCGCGGTGGAACTCCCCGGCGAGCGCGGCGTTCCCGAGCGCCTGGAGCGCGGCGCACGCCACGTCGGGGGCGAGCGAGGGGAAGGAGAGCACGGAGGCGGCGACGGCGGCGGGGCCGCAGCGCTCGATGAAGGCGTACTGGTTGAGCTCGTGGCCCGCGAGGAGGTTGCGGAGGAGGCGGAGGCGCAGGAGCAGGAGGCGCGACGGGGAGGCCGGGAGGAGGAAGAGGGTGTCGGCGAGCACGTCGGAGAGGCCCTCCCGGCCCTCAGGGGTCCTGGAGGCTTGTATCAACGCGGCGAGGGTCTCCTCGCCGTCGTCGGATCGAGACATGTTTGTTGGGGTTTAGCGTGCCCTGAACTCGAGAAAATCGGAATTTTGCTCTTACGGGAGGACTTCACCCAAATGCTATCGATTCTGTGGGCTTCGCTGAAATGCCCTTACAAAACAAGTTCCTATAATGTCATTTTGAATTTTAAATCGACTTAAAAAAAATTGAGCTAAAATTTTAGCCTTCAGTGACCATTTTGCTTTTGAGCTCGTTGACCTATTCCCTGCGCTCTCATCTCTCCCCCTCTCGTTGTTCTCTCGCTCGAGTGAAAGGCAGAGCGTCGCCGCCCCAGGCCGTCCCCACCCCCGCACCGTGCCCCCGGGCCGAGCCTCACCGCCGCCATCCACCCCCATGATGCTCCCTGCCCTAGGTGAAGGCTAGCCCGCCGGCGCCGCCACGAGCAGGTCCCCACTCTCCCCGTCGCTGGATCTGTGGCCGCTGCTTCTGGGCGTCCGGGTGCTCTTCCCCAGGCAAAGGCGGCCCCAGCCAAGCCGCCCGTCCACGCCAGGCCGCCGTCGCCCGACCGTGCGTCACCAGGAAGCAAATGGAGCACGGCGCGCTGCGGCATCTTCTGGCCGTTTGATGAAGCATAGACGGTTGTGATCAAGATCAAGTGACGATTGCTAGGCGTCGCCAATTTACACATTATTGAATGCACAGTAAAAGGAAAGGGTTGAAATCAGCGAGGCCTCCGTTTGCCCGGAAAGTCTGTATACGGATGAAATGGGGCGTATACGGATGAAATGGGGCATGTTATTTGATTGAATTTGAATGCAGATTTGCGGGAATATAAAACCAAATGCCACAAATAAATTGGCTGGTCACACGTACCGCTGGACATTGTTTATCGAATTCAACTGTGAACGGAAGACAATCCAGATGCCTAAATTCTATCCATACATCGATATTTCCTGGGTATTGAAACTAGAATACGAATACTGGAGAAATTTTTACTAAACCAACAAAATGTATAGTCTAAACTATATGCCGCATCCCTCACAGCTGGGGGTATGGCTGACGCTAGTGCTATGTTGATCTGGAAAAGCCCCATCCCTCTGAAAGTGAAAAATTTTATGTGGATGGCAAACCATGACAGAATACAATGTGGTGTGCAGTTAAAAAAGAAAAAGTGGACAGGTTCTGAGAAATGTCTTGTTTGCGAAGTAGATGAGACTTCAGATCACATTTTATTCCAATGCCCCCTGGCTGTCCTTCTGTGGTCCTTCTTGCGAGACTGTCTGGGGTGGCCATCCTCGCCAACCAGCTGTTCCTCGCTACTCTTGGAGATAGTGGATCAGTATAGAGGTAACAAACAACTCTTAACCATCTTCATATGTGCAGGAGCCTTATGGTCTATTTGGAAAACTCGCAATGAGTTGGTTTTTGACAAGAAGGTGGTGTCGTCCCCGTCGACCCTAATCTACAAGGCTCTGCTGCTGCTGGCCAAGTCGTGGCGCCCCCTGCTCAAGCTGAAGATGATGCCGATGGCGAACGGAATGCTGAATAATATCTCCTCGAGAGTTGCGTCTATGTAATTCAGTTTGGGGATGCTGTTTGCGTAGTCTTTTGTTTCTCCCCCCACCTGAATTCTTTTCTCCCTAGTTGTTTTTGAGCTATCTGTTGAGTTCTTAGTTGGAGTTTGTTGGTAGAAGTTCTGGGCTTTTGCCTTAGTGCGTTCCTGTAACGCTGGTGTCCCCAGCCTCGGACCATTGGTGCTCGTTACGCTTTCTAATAAAGTGAGGTGAATACCTTTGGTCTAAACTATATGCGTACCTCACAGGGCAAGAAACATTTCTATTGGCCCCGTTCGTTTCGCTGAAAAAACAAGCCGAAACACTGTTTCGGTTGATTTGTTGTGAGAGAAAAACTCTGTTCCGGCTGAAAAAACAAACTGAAAAGTACGGATTATAAGAGAAGCGAACATGGCCATATAGCACAAAAAGAAAAAAACCATCCTATTCAGCTCCCTCCAGTCAGCCCAACCATCAAGACACGACACGACTGCTCCAACAATACAACTTAATCCAGATGCATTAATCGTGTTAAACATGAAATCGTGCATTCAACAGCATAACTTGGATGTAACCAGTGATTCTGCAGATTATTCAGAATTCTTATAACCCAGCAGTGTGCTTGATTTGAATTTTGCAAGCACTGCAATTCACGCTAAAGAACTGAAGAGCACCAGAATTTTTACTAAGCAAGCATTACAACAATGGCGCAGCTCTAACTAACTTTACAACCTTACAACTGGGCAGAGATTAATCTAAGCTCCAGCTTCCCCTCCTAATAGATAATCTAAGAACACTCAGAATGCTTAGGACTGCCTCTGTTATTTGACCTGTTGCAGCTTCGGGCAGAAGACAGATTAGTGCCCGTTGGACATTGCAGTGGTGACAATGTCACCTTTCACGTCATAGAACCTTCGGTACTTGGAGTCAACGTGCGTGAGATAATATGTGCCTGCAGATAGCAAACTTGTATCTTGACTGGTCACAAAATCTTTCGCCCCATAGCGGTGCTCCATCAGTTTCAGTGCCTCGACAAATTTCTTTGGGGGAACCTGCATGGAACATACCCTCACTTTATGTTAAACACAGTGGGCTTCAGTGATAATTGAAGATTTTTTCTTGAAAGAATATCGCTAATACTCACCACATGTCTTGCCTTCAATTTCTTGGAAACATCCATTATGTTTGCAATGTTCAATAGACTGAAAGGTTGCTGGCCTTCATTAATCTTGAAAGAGAACATTGTTGATGTCAACCCACTGCCATATGAAAACATAACAATCCTCTGGCCTGCCTGGACATGTCAAAAGTACAGAAAGAAAAGAAATTACTTTAACATCGACCGGCCAGTCTTGTAAAAGCAGAGGGAAACACACACTGCAAATACTAAATAGTATTATACCAGAGTTTCATGTCTATTATGAATAATCGATGCAAGAGCGGCATAGAGTGATGCTGTATACATATTCCCAACTTGTTTTGGGATCAATGTTGTTGGCTGAACCTTGGACTCGTACAGGTTCTTTGCAACTTGCTGAGATGCCTGTGTAGCACAGCTTAATTGATCAGCGCCAGATAGTTTGACCATGTGGAGATACTTCTAGTTATCTAACCTTTTATATACCTTTTCAAGGTCGCGACTCTGGTAGCTTTCTTCAGATGACAAGCCTGCATAGGGTGCCAATTTTTCCCTTGACTCTTCATCAATCGTGCTGCTTGATATGGATGGGAAATCTTTTAGTTGAGCCAGTTGTCAATTTTGACAAGTGAATCAAATAGTTTACTGTTTGAAGCATGCAAAGATGCTAATATAGTAAATCACCAACCTGCAGTTTCTCAAGAAATCATTGTAGTACAAACGAGCGAAGCTTTTCTGTACAAGCTGAACAAAGCAACAACTTATAATTAGGAAAACAAATAATAAAAAATACTTTGCAGAGAGCAACAAATTTTAAGTTGGGTTTGCAAGATCATCACCAAGATGCCACCTGTCATGTGCACTTTGCTACGGAAATATTAAAATCATATTGTAAGTGTGTTTCTGGTACCTTGTTGTATGGAGAATGGAACACAACATAATCTGCATCAAAAATTGAAAACTGCTTTCCCTCATGCTTTTCGTACCTGAAATATGGGATAGTGGATTCAGATTCAGTCAGCTCACTCAACTTGGCTAATGTGCTAAAATAAAAGTGGTATAACTTACTTTTTGCAAAATACATTGTAGCAGGAGTCCAATGCCATGAGATAACATGTCTGTGATAGCTTCCCATCAACCACCTACACACATTACATGGCATAAATTCCTTTCCATTAACTTTCAAGTTTATTGCGTCTGTTTTGGTGTGCAAAACACATGTAGAGTAGAGACAGACCGGATATTCACTAGCAAGATCGGGCTTGTAAAAGTCATATACATGGGCCATATGAGATCCCCTATATTTGCTTTCAAAAGAAATAGGAGCATTTGGTCCAATCAGCATTGCAATAGCAGCCGCACCACCAGTAGGACGAGCTGGACCTTCAGCATAAACCTGAAAGAAAGGATATCAAAGTGGATTGACAATGTCAGCACGAGAAATAGCAAGTGCTTCAAAAGGTCAAGTAAAATAATCATGTTTTAGCTAATACTCCCTCCATATTGGTAATTCAAGTCATTTTGGATAGCAAAACGGTCTCCAAAGCATAACTTTGACTTCTTATTTTTATAAAAATATTTATTGGAAAGTAATATATGTATATTTTTATGAAAATACTTTTCAAGACAAATCTATTCATATGGTTTTCACATTTTCAAACTCAACAACTTAAAAGTTATTCATAATTTATATCCCCAATGTTTGACCCAAGCCTTGTCCAAAATGACTTGAATTACCAGTGTGGAGGGAGTATAAATATCATCTTTACTCAAGTTGCAAGTCGAAGAATAACATGTCACCTACCGCACTGTCTGTGCAAACAACAAGTCCATAACGCCCATCCCATGAGTTGCTTTCAACCCAGTTAACACAATTAAACAATGCAGCTGTTCCACCATAGCATGCATTTGAAGAGTCAACTCCTTCAATATCAGTATTGCCAGATTCCTGAATTCAGATGAAGCTGTCAGAACTGTAGCAGAAGCAGGCTCAATTTGAAATTTTCAAGACAAATATTGAAAATAAAATGAATTATTCCACTTTTTAGCTTTATCAACAAGGATTACTGGATCATGCCGGAAAGCTTCAACTATCTAAGTTTTTTTTAAAAAAAAAAATCGAGGGTCCCTTTGGAAACGCAGGAAACAGGAAAGTTTCCTTTGTTCCAAAGGGGGCCTGAAAAGATTTTTTGTAATGAAAGAAACAAACCTCAAATATCTGCATCAGCCATGTCTTTATAGACTTGCTCTTGTCTATTACTGTTTCACTGCCCACTTCCAAACGTCCAATGCACTTTGGGTCAATGTTATAATTTTTCAGGAGGGACTTCACCACTGTCAAGCTGAGCCAATATCTCAATAAGTTAGATTTATAACAAAAGGATTAAATGAATATTGTCTGGGTATTGAAAATGAAATAACATTGTTTCAAATTGTATCATTTTAAACAGGTCATAACCATTTGGATTTCACAAATGAAAGGATAAAGTTAAGGGATCAAGGACAATTACTTTCACAAATACAGGAACTAATGTTCTGGTGTTGAAGGCAGAATCAAATAACTTAAAATCAAGCATGGCAAAGTGCTATATTTTGGTTTTGCAATGGCCCTCCCTTGCTTAATTTTGTGCATAATTACCATGCATATAACTCCGAAACAAAAGAACGACTAAGATAACAGAAAAGAAGAAAAGAAAGATATAAAGAAAAGAGAAAACAATGAAAATTGGAGCATTAACCAGTAAGTACTCAGAAAAAATAATATACCTCATCGAAATAACATCCTCAACTTCAGTGCAAAATGCCATACTTTCCTGCCCAAGCCCAATGGTATACTTCCCTTTGCTCACGCCATCATGTGTTTCCAACTCTTCCTGTAACAAATATCATATAAATTTGCAGTACACCACAGCAACTACCAAATAGAATGATACTATACTAATAAGCTGAAGACAAACTGAGGCGTTACGAGTGATTCAACTATCTCACAATAGAAAACTGAATGTGTCCTAAAAAACACCAGTTGTTTTCAATGGGATGAAGCCCTCGTTTAATTTACAATCTTTTTTTCCCCTCCTGTCGTATTCAAGTTTACAGATATTTTTCTAAAAGGTCTGACATGTTGACCTATTATTCTACTCAGACAAATTAATTGTAGAAATAGCAGCATGCACTTGAGGACTGAAATTACTATGCACACGACTGAGGTGAAAGCTTTACTGATTTTCTGTAAACATGGTGAAACAACAAAGCAATACGTGATGGATTCTCCATGACCGTATGTGCCTGTATACCGTACTTTGGCTGTCGTAGGTAGCATTGCTGGTGAACCTGTTGTGAACTGTGTAGCGTGTGCTAAGAACAGTTTTGACAGATATTTCATCACTCATCAGCACAAGGTGCTTAAATGCCGCCACCAGCCCTGCCCCTTGAACAGGCCACAGGGGTCCTAATACTACTAGAGAGTTCGTTTCAGTCGGCATCAACTAGGCCTTTTCCTCCCCGACAACCAGCATTTTTGGCCCTGTTCGGCTCGATGGAAAAGCGACTGACGCTGATGTTGATTTATTACGAGAGAAAAATACTATTATTTTGCTGAGAAGGACTAATTTTCTTCTCACGAAAAGAATGCAAAAGGACTGTTGCTCCTTAGCCTGCTCATCAATGGCCAACACAGCTAGTACTTCATCTACAGTTCCCTTGGGCTCAATCAACGCATGGTTTAAGTACAGCTGGAAGTACTGATCAGGAATTTGGCCCCGTTCGTTTCGCTGAAAAATAAGCTAAAATATTATTTCGGCTGATTTGTTACGAGAGAAAAATGCTGTTCCAACTGAAAAAAATAAGATGAAAAAAAAACGAATTATAAGAGAAACGAACGGAGCGTTGGATTGGTGTATTTAGTGGACAACAGTTAAACGGATGAGTATTAGAGGGACTTCGAGTCAGGTGGGCCTAATTGCACTCAAGTCCCCCGATAATAGCCAGCTAAACACGGGACACGATATTTTGATACGACCGAGCTCAACTTGCCAACGACACAACTCATACGAGGTATGGATCGAAACAGCTGTCTCGGCAGCAGGGCAGCTCTCTGAGCAGGGAGCCCCACCAGCTCTGCTCCGTGCCGCACGCAACTGCCACGGCGAACGGCCAACCTCGTGTCGCCGAGGGAGGGCCCAGGGGACCGACGGGGCCGGACCGCTGGACTGCTGGAGGAGTGGAGGTCCTTCCTCCCACCCCCGCAAGGCGCAACCCGGCGCGAAGAACGGCGGGTGACCTCAAACTCCTACCGGAACCAACAGCCTTGACAGGCTAAAAGCCTAAACCCGCGGCAACCGTAAAGAGGTCGCGCAGGCGCAGGGGAAGCACGCAAAGCGTGTGGTGGTGCTGTGTTGGTGTCCACGCCGCCTGCCCGCGCGCCTTGGAATCGAACAGACGGAGAGTGCGTGCGTGTCCGGTGATGCCCCCGACGACGGCGAATCCAAGGGAAGGGCCGAAGGGGAATGCGAATCTGGCGCGCGGGGAAACAGAGGTGGCGACTGCGCGATGGTACCTGGAGCACGCAGTTGGGCGGGAAGTAGATGTCCATGGCGAGGATGCCCACGTCCTTGGCCTCCGACGCCATCTCTCCTCCTCCGACGCCGCCGCTGCACGCAAAACTGCAGACAGCCCAGGGGCATGCATGCAAACCGTGTAAGAGAACAGAGCAAGTGAACTGCAACCTGGAAACTGCCAATCTCCGGCCACGGATTGGGAGATAGAGAGACAGAGGCCAGTACCAGTGGGAGGGGCGAAGCGGACTGGGGAGGGAGCCTACAAGAGCGGATCGCAGTGGGCAGGCAAGGGGTGCGGGATGGGCCGGACGGGCAAGGCCTCCCCCTCCTCGGCGCCGTATATATAAGGATATACACCCCGGCAACAGCGCGCAGCGCCGCTTTTTCGAAATCCTTTTCGCGTTTTCTTTTCACCTCCCGTCAGGAGTGGCTGTGGCAGTGGGAGCTGCCGCGGTTGGTGGTGGGAACCGGCGCGGGCGCGGGACGCTCGGCGCGGGACGGCTGGAGGCTCCTGTACGGGCTTGTCCTTTCCCTCGCCCTCGGGCCTCGGTCGTATCGCCTGCTTGCCACGGGGTCCGAGCACGTGGCCAGCCACGAGGTCCTGGGCCTCTGGGGAGCATCTGGTTCTGGCCCTCTTCGCAGGGCTTGGAGCCTGGAGGGTTGCAGTTGCAGCACGAAGGCTGGTTGAGACTTGTCGGGAGCCATCGGACGGGAGTGGCGTGTGGGGGCCTGGCCTAGTGGCCTCCTGGCTCCGGCCTCTTTTTGCAGATCGGATCCGGCTTTTTGGACCATCATGTTCCTACCATACTGTAAATTTGGAGTATATACTATACTGTAAGTGCTAAATTTATTTCCTCACTAAAGAAAACAAGTTTGGATGTGGATGCTGTATATATTGCCCATGTCTCCCCTCCCCTATTTCGTGTTGATGTAGCCATGTAGGTCAGCCGTTACGCTAAGACCTCCTCATTCATCGCTGTCTCATTCTATCGCTCCTTTTCAGTTTTCATTCATTGGCATGGGAAACAAACCCAGCCCGGGTACAGTGATTGCTCACCAACCACAGCCGGGGTGAATCCTCGCGTCGCAACAAGCTAAGAGAGTCAATTGCTCAATGCCATCGAAAATTTTCGCTCTTCCCTCACTGCCGTTGAAATTTTAGAACTTCCCTCGTTATCATCAGATAAAATTTATGATTCTCTCAATGCCATCACGTCAACATCTTAAGTTTGTATCGCTGACTAGTGGGACCCATAAAAACAGTGCATTTTGTGTCAACTGCAAAATGACCACCCTTGCCCCTCTTCCTATGACAATACGGGCCCACGTTTCATGGTCTAAAGGCCGCAACAGCGAAGGATCCTCTCGTCTCGTGGCGGTGGCGAGTGGGCGCAGAGGAGGCAGCGTGGTGCGGGGGCCCAGGTGGTGCGCGGCTGAGCTGCAGAGCGGGGGCAGGGTCCGCGCGGCCGTGCGAGCGGCCCTGGGCGCGCTGCACCGGCCGCGGGGGTGGCTGCAAGCTCCACTGCTCTAGCGGCCGTGGCCCTGCTCCACTGCGTGTGGGGCGCTGCCTGCACGCCGCCCTCTGCCGTGTGGCCTGCACGCCGCCGCCTGCCGCACGGGCGACCGTGGCAAGCAGCTCTGCGCGGGCGCGGCGCTAGGCACGCACCGCATTTCTTGGTCATGTCCTGGCCCTCCACGAGCACAGCCATTGCCTCCAGGACGGGTACGGCACCGCGCCGCCGTGGCCGGACGCCACCTCCTGCTCCACGCTGCTGCGCGCGAGCTTGTCTCCTCGCACCGCCGAAACGGCGAAGACGCTGCCGGCTGGTTCATGGTGGAGTGGTGGCCGCTGGCCGCCAAGACAGGATAAGGCGACGCCAACGACGCTGACATTGACCTGCTTTTGTGCCTGCACGCGCGGTGCGGGCGCTGAGAGACGCGGCTGCACGAGTTCCGGCAAGCACCGCATGCTGTTGCTCCTTGCACGCCTCCTCGATTATATGCCATGCACACACCATGTCCCTACTACCCGTCACCTTGCACTCTTCCTTTCGCGACCAGAAGCTCACCAAGGTAAGTATCAGGCTATCACCTGCTCGATGCAATGCTCAAACGGAGACAGATGAGCTACGGTGTGCACGAGGGAGCTTGCTGATTATTGAAATGCTAGCGAGCTTGTCCATCGATCCCATCATGGCGAGAGCCTTTTGTGCGGCCTCCCCACTGCCCCTGCCAATCTCGAGGAGCGCCACCGTGGTGACGAACGGTGCACGTGATAGGCTTCTGAACACCGCTGCCAAGAGCTCTAGACTCATAGCCTCCGTTCGCACAGAGAAATCTAGAGGAATATGTGAGAGGAATCAGCCAGCTACAGTGTTTTTTTCAGCCGAATACAGTGCTTTTTAGCACGAACGAGGCCATACTTGTTCACCTCCGGTGGCATTGACGAAGAAAAGGGGCAAAATTCACTTCATTTGCTTTGGGAGGGGCAAAATGGTCATTTCCATACCAACTTAACAACAAACTAACAGCTTATGGACCGAAATGGCATTGGCCCCGTTTGCGTGCCCTTAAATCCGGCTTGATCCGCTTATTTTTTCATCCGGAACAGTATTTTTCTCTCACAAATTCCTCCAGCATTCCTCCAGAATTCAGACAAGCGAACAGGCCCATTGAGAGAATCGAAAATTTTATCTGATGGCAATGAGGGAAGTTTTAAAATTTCAATGTTAGTAAGGGAAGAGCTATAATTTCTGATAGCATTGAGGGAATTGGCTCAAGCTAAAAATGGTGAGTACAAGTGAAGCGAGTGAACACAACACAACAGTCGATCTATCATTCCTTACTAACATTGGGCCTGTTCGCTGGGAGAGGAATTTGGATGAATCTGGATAAATCTGGAAGAATTTGTGAGTGAGTGAACAGTGTTTTTTAGCAGTGCACAGTGTTTTCCAGCTGATTTTCATGTCAGCCGAACGGCCCCGTTAAAACCTTTATAAGTCGCTTTGACTTTTGTGGTATATCCATTTTACTACCCATCTAGATATAATAATATGTCTAGATACATAATAAAATAAAATAAAAATCAAAGCGATTTATAATTTAAAATGGTAGAAGTACCTGATAGGCTGATAGCTTACCGGATGCTTCACCAGAGCAATTCTCACGGTCACACAGAGCATTCAATACTGCGAATCAGTTGCGTCAATTGATAACAGAGTTGTTGTAACGGGCGGTTTAACTAGGTAAGACACTAGAAACTGATCCTCATTACTCTCTGCATTACTCTGCATGTCTCCGGGTACGGTTTATCCCACACTCTGATCTGACGTCACGTCTATATAAGAGGGCAAAACTCTCTTCTGGTTACATGCACATGTAATACGTATACGTACACTGCACACATAGAGCCTCTTTGGCAGGGCTCCTGCAGGGACTTTAGCTCTGGCTCCTGCAAAAGTTGTGCCAAACGTCTGTTTTGGAAAGGGCTCCGTGTAACAGAACCGCCCAATTTATATAAGATCAAGTACGGCTGTCCCCGCTAACACGTTGACACACGCATACTTTCACTCATATAAACCCGGTAGTCCGCCGAGTGTCCCGAAAGACCTCGGTAAATCAACATCACAACCAAGATCGCGTGATTAAGCAAATACACATCACATACGCAGGGTTGCAGCGGAAAATAATATTACAAATGAATTCAAAAATAATAGTACAAGTTTGGGGTTTCAAAACCGATTAGTGAAAACAACATAGCTTTCAAAAGATTACATTAATATATGTTCCAAATACATTGCTAGCATAAGTGACATCATCCGACAAAAGCATATAGATGAGAAGTAACTATAGAATCACCGAGCCCGGTGATGTTAACCACCATCTTCAACAGGCCAAGAACTTCACCTACAACATGGTGGGATAACCACGAGTACTCGAATGTACTCAATTGGACTTACCCGTCGGAAACCAAAAATAAAGGACACCAAGGGTCATGCAAGGCTTATGAGGTGGGCTAGCTTGACACATTTGCATAAAAGAGCTTATGAGCATAGTAACCAATTTAAACTTAGCATCAAGCTTATCATCATTTACCCATCCACTAGATTAGCACTGTACTAGAGCACTCACTTATTAGGAGCAAACAATATTAACCATAGCGTGTATAATAAGGTGTCATCATCATATCATCATTTCCGAACCATTAAGATATTAAGTGTATCTACATTGGAGATAAGCCCGTCAAGTTCTCACTAACTTGAGAGAGCGGCGATTCAATCGAATTACAACTCGGTGAGGGGTATTCCTAACTCTCACCCTGGCATACTTTGCAAGGGTAGCCGTGGGTCACCTTTGGAACATCTCAGAACCAAATTGGCGGGTTCGATCGGGCGCCAAGACTCTCGTGGATTACCCCTACGCCCGGGGCGATCGGGACTTTTAAATCACTGCCCTTGGACTCACGCCCACGGCTCCCTTCCGAGGCGCACTTTATACTTATCGACTCCGGCCGAGGTGAGCTACTCGGCCGTGGTCGGTCTCCGGTTCCGACCAACTAAGAGAGAGGCATGCGTTCAACATGAACAGGAAAGGCTCCAAGAATGGGTCCTTAAGTTTATTAGAGACGGAGTCATCGCAAACCCGGCAAGCCTCCGTCCGGTCTTCATTTCAAATTAAGAATGGTTCTTTTCCACGATAGCAAATATAGCCAACCGTGCCACATGTATCTTCCTATATCTCGCGGTGACAGAAATCACCCGACTTCTACCGCGTTTAAGGTGGCTAAGCACTACTCGAGCTCGAGCTACATAGGATTCGTGGTAACAATATCCGGACAAGGATTGGATAACCAATGCGACAAGGGTTTGCATCCAACACCTAACTTAATGCAACAATATATATGTAATAATAATCATCAGAATCGCGAGTTCGGAAAATAGGAGGCTTAATATGCTCGGGGCTTGCTCAGGATCCGACACAAGTCGTTGTTAGGTAGACGACACTCGCTAAGTGAGCATCTCCGCCCCTAGCACTTGTCCGGTCCTTCCACCTTGGGATAGGTCCATCAAAC